GAGGTGTGTGATGGCAAAAGCCTCTTAACTGCTCGAAAAGCAAGGAATGGTTATTTGGATTTGAGCAAACAGATGTTAGTGAGTTCAGTAAATATGAATAAGGACAAGACAGGATTGGCTGGATGGAATAAAGCTTATGTTCGGAACCCTTCACGTAGGGTAAATTATTTAACAGGACCTAGAGTTGATCCCAGGACAACAAGTGTGAATAGTGACACAGCACTTCATGTTGCTGAGCAATCAGGATGTCTGCAGGCTACTATATCTAGTTCTATGGAGCATCATGATATTGAAACGGAAGATAATAGCAGCTTAGCGCGTCCTGCTGATGTTTGTTTACGGTCGACGGATGAACAGTTGTATACTGGTCCAAGTAGTCATAGCAACATTGATAGTGTTAGTGAAAGTGGTAGCATGGCTTTAAAGCCGGCATGTCAACTATCTTGCAACTCGTCATTAACTATGAATAGTCAGAACATCATTGTGGACAACAATAACGTCAAAGTAGAGGTGAAACCTGATGTATCTATCAATAACGTAGTTGATGTGAATAATAAGCGCGATAGTAACGAGAGTAGAATCACTATAGGTAGTGCTGTTTCTTCGGTTGACGTGGCTAATGTTGCTTCTTTGAGTACTTCGAATCAAGACGGGATTGGATGTTTGAGCGTGGAGAGCGTAGGCGTTGGTGGCAATAGCGTCAGCCACAGTGATGGCAGTACTGTGAGGGCTAACATTCGGTACCCTAAGTGCAATGAGGAGTCATCTAGGTTTGATGGACATGCTGTTGTGTTGAATATGCAGCATGAGGAATCGAGCATGGAATTGTCCACCTGTCACACTCCATCATCATTGACTAAAAGTATCGGGATGAGCACTACCAACAGTGATAAGATAGAAGAGGCTAAGAGCATTCCTAGCAAGGAAAGTTATGTTGATCGAGTAGAGTTAACCACTGTGCATGAGGTGACTGGATGTCATGAGAAGAATGCTACTGCTTGTACGGCTGCGGCTATTAATGATAATAGCATTGATGATACTCCTGCGAGTAATAGTGATCGACGGAAGTTGAAAGACACTCATCGTCGTCGAAGAAGCATAAGAAACAACATGATGCTCCTATTATTAAGAAGCCTAAACTTCGTTCTCTTTCGGATGCTATGACTAGCAATGGAAATAGTAGTCATCAGAATCTTAGTAGTGACAGCGATAGTAAGGAGACAGAAAGTGTGAGCAATCCATCGATAGTGACTAGTCGATCAACTTCATCGAATGAGCCTTCTATTGATTTGACGTCATCGGACCCTGCCGCGAATGCGAAGTTGATTGAGGATACACAAGGTTGTGTAACTGTAAGTGTTCCTACTTCGGTTGACTGTCAGTCAAGTGATGATGAGAACGAAGTGTCTGATGGTAACAGCCAGTCTACAGTGTTGCATGATAACGATGCTATCGATGTGCATATGTCTTGTGTTTCTGAAACGGAACATGAAGAACAACAAGTGAGTTTATCGGTTTTGGATTGTGGCACTAATGCTGTTCTTTCATGTAGAGAGATGAGTTATACAACAATGGAAGAGTTTCACTCTACGGATGCTAGTGCAGACCGAAACGACGCGACCTGTCTGACACAACGGAATCATGATGACGATGATAATAATCTGGATGTCACTGATGTGACAAATGAGTTGTCGACGATGACGATTGCTGATCAAACCTCTGCACCAGGAGACGGAGAGTTGAATATTGTTCCTATGTTATGCCAGCTAGAGTCTTCGCGAGACGAGGAAATGTCAAAATTGGAGATCCCACCCTTGCATATAATCTATGGGTCAAGAAATTCTGTTGATAAGTCAGCATCACGGGCTTCATCGTATCTGCTGTTTGGAGCAAGTGGTGGTGGATTGACGACTCATCCCCATGAGGTGGAAGGTAAATCGCTAAGAGGATTCGACCAGCTTTACGACGTGTTGTACATGTTCGTGTGGGTTAATTGGATAAGGTTTATTCTACCGTTAGGTCATGCTACGATAGATAGGGGAATCAAGGACCTGATGTTGAAGGTACAGGTACATAGTTAGTTTGATAGGTCATGTCCATGTTGGAGGGCGTGTAGGCGTACTGCTGTAAGTCCTACTGGTTCTTCCGGAGTGGATTAGGGGATGAGAGTGAACCCTAAATTGAAGTGTTAGAAAGGGTTTATTCTGCATAGAGGGACTTTGTGTGGTGGTGTGGCCATGAGGAGATTGATAAAGGATTGTGTTTATTGTAAAAGGAGGGACGCCCATCCAATTCAACAACTAGTGGCACCATTACCTGCGATCAGGATAGAAGGTAGTGACTATCCGTTCTTATCAGTTGGAGTAGATAATTTTGGACCCCTTATGGTTAAACATGGTAGAAATACTGAGAAGCGGTACGGTTGTGTATTCACTTGTTTAAGGTTGAGAGCTGTGCATCTGGAGGTGGCATATAGTTTTACCACCGACTCATTTATCATGGCACTAATGAGTTTTGTCGGCAGAAGAGGTTGTCCAAAAAAGATTTATGGTGATAATGGATCAAATTTGGTGGGAGCTGAACGTGAATTAAGAAAATGTTTTCAAGGTTGGGTACAAGAACGTATACAATCTGATTTACTAAGAAAAGGAATTGACTGGCATTTCAATCCTCCAGCCGCTAGTCATTGGGGAGGAGTGTGGGAGCGTATGATTCGCTCTGTACGTAGGGTATTGGGTGCTCTTGTAAAGGAACAAATTTTAACAGATGAATGCCTTGAAACTTTTATGATAGAGGCGGAGCATATAATAAACAATCGACCTTTGGTTCCCGTTACAGACGACTCAAAGGATCTTGATGCAATAACACCAGCAAAACTATTACTACTGAGAGAGAATGTTGCAGAATTTACTAACACTCTATCTAATGACAGGTATTCTAAGAGATGGAAGCAAGCGAGTTACTTGGCGCAAGTATTTTGGAAACGTTGGTCTAAGGAATATGTTTCGCTGTTGCAGCGTAGATACAAGTGGACACAATTAGAGAGGAACATACGAGAAGGTGACTTAGTAATGATATGTTCTGACTTCTCTGAGAAAAACAAGTGGCCCCTTAGGTCCAGTACAGAGAGTGATACCAAGTAAGGATAGACTAGTGAGACAGGTAGAACTGAGGACGAGAAAGGGGATCGTAGTGAGAGATATACGTAAACTGTGTCTCCTTGAAGCGGTAGATGGTAGGTAGCTACTCGGATCCCTAGGCGTACTGGTGTAAGTCCTAGGGATCACGAGATTGTTGACATATTGCATGTTTGTTGTTGATTGCTTGTGATGCACATAATTGGATTGTTGTTTTCTATTTTGTAGGTGAAAAGAACCAAGGTTCTTTTGGTCGGGAGTGTTACGGGGGAAATGAAGACATTTTGCTGATTAAAACCATTATATAAATATCATTAATTTCACTGTGTTTTTTGGGTATATTTGTTTTACTTAACTTATGAACTTGTTTGAATTATTATTTTCGGCCATTTTGGACTCCTGTTTGTCTTGGTTGTTCGTTTGCAGTTTTTGCTCCAGGAATCTACAAAATAGAAGGTAATTGTAATTATTATTATTATTGTTGTTAGAACGACATTGGTCGTCTATTTGTAATAAACACATTTTGGTCGATTATTTGTGAATTGACAGTAAACTTTGGTACCTACTTTGGAGTTTCGTTTTGATATAATTTTTGGGTCCGTGAATTGCAAATAGATCGACACACAGTGCTTCTAAGGATCAAGGAGCAAAAAATTGGACGTAACACATAAGTCCTGCCAATGATTGCAGGCGCGTCAGGTGGTGGCTAGGTTTAACATCACTCAGGGGGTTACATGCTAACAAAGTCTGTCATTCTTTAGTCTATCCACCATTATAATACGCTGCTTCATATATATTATATATATATTAAAAAATATCAAAAAGAAGACTATGACTGGGTAAAAGGTGTATTGATTCATGGTCTCGTGATATCGAAAATATATCAAGACCGGAATAAAGTAGCAGCTAACAACCAGCAAGGAGAAACGCGGAATGGGAGTAACACTCTAGGCGCACGAGTTGTTCTCTTTTCGTACAGTTAAACAAAAAGAGGTACAATAAAACCGTTATGGTTATAACTGTTTACAATAATAAGTTTTCCATTCCAGCAATTGTGTTGTCTTCGTAAAAGTATACCACCTAAGTGAAGTGATGCATACATTTAAGTGCGGGAACTCATGCAACTACACAATATGTGAAATAGCGCTGCCTAAAATGGAAAATTACAAAGATCTGGGAGTCATGTTAGGTGACACTTTAGAACTCATAACTTACTGTCTACCCCCACTGTATATACATCAAAAGCCAGAAACACTAATGTTGTGGGCTTTTATTTGGGTCTCACTCAATAGAGCAGTGAAGCTAGAAGGTTATGATCAAGCCAAACAGACCTTGTAACATTGAAAATACGATATTATCGAATATGACGCCTGCACAAAGTGAGGATGTAGGTACCCATAGAAAATCCACCTCAGTGAACCTTGATTGCGGAAACAGTTAGCAGTCAGATACGCGCCTTTCCCAGTCCAATTTCAAAACATAAGTTTTCTGGGTAAGAACGGTTCTATTATTAATCAAAAAGGGAATATAAACAATTAATTAAACAATATCATACTGTTCCGATCCGAAATTAACACAATGAGTTTCCGATTCTAGAAGAATGCGTCCTTCCAGTCAAGTATACGAAGTTACCGCAGAGGTATCAAATCCGATATGGTTGTAGCCATATTAAGTATCAATTTAAACAACACATTTACAGTTTAGAAGGAAACATATAAACTCCAATAAAAGTAAGAAAATAGGAATTATAACAAAATGCAAATATTAACATCCAAAATTGTGACTAAATAGAGTACCAGAATATTGAACAGAAAGAGTCATCAAGATCACAACACAGATATATACATGAAGGGATTTTCCCAAAATCGAAGCCTTCAAAATGGATTCTACAGTACCCACTTTCGATATAAGGTTTTAATCATGACTAATGTATTCAGCCAGATCATAAATACCTAACCTAGTTTGTTACAAAACTACGAGTGATCGTAATGCTGTCTCTGCCAAATCATTCAGGGTTTTATAACTTGTACAAAGAAATGTTTTGGGTAATTTACTCGATACTTATCAGGCCTCATTTGGAACACAAGATTCCGAAAGCGAGTCCTTGTTTCAGTTATGTGTGTTAAGAAGATCTAAAGAGAGAAGGAACGGAATGGTCAAATGTCTCACTAACCTTTCAAAGCAATCCGAGATGCCTAAGCCCATTCTCGTTACCTTACCGTAGGTTACGAGATGATTTAATACTAGATTACTGTAGACAGAACCAGATTTTTCATGCTAATACCCCTTATTTCTTCCACATTTCTAGGACTGATCATCTGAGGAGATATTCTAAAAAAGTTTAAAAACCAAGATCAAATCGTCCACGTCCAATGTTTCGTTTCTCGAATCGAGTAGTGAATATCAGCACTATTTGTTGATACCTTCAAAGTTAGATAGGATTTTCACAGTACTATGATTTGCAAAGATTACAGCACGTCGATTGACCACTCATCGTTATTACTGAGACTGGAAACTGGTGACCTTGGTGAACGCAAATATTTGGTTACATCCGTTACCTCATGGAATCCCGAGTTAGGAAGACGTGCTATGAGCTTAAGGATCACGGAGTTCTCCATCACCCTGGAACAGAAGAACGTTGGAATTTAAGTGTTTTTAGAAAAAATTTTCACGTTGAAATTATTCGTCATGGTGAAGATTCTGACACAATGGAATTCGATATGATTAATTTGGATTGCTCCTTCGCCAATGCAGTCCGGCGAATTTTAGTCTCTGAAGTTCCTTCCCTCGCAATAGAAAGGGTCTACGTTTCTCAAAACACAAGCATTATGCCGGATGAGGTTATGTGCCATCGCTTCGGCTTAATCCCACTTTCTGTTAATCCCAAATATTTTCTGTTCCCCACAAGAAAACCCCCTGCTTCTGATGACATTTCCGGATTCGACCCTAAAGAACACCTGGTATATGATATCCGCGTGGGATTTACACATGCTAATAAAGATTCACAGAATAAACTTGAAAACGATAAGGATGATACTATACCTGTGCCTCAGTATTTACCAGTGTATAGGTTAGTTTGATCTCATGTTTCATTTACAAATTATTAAGTTTCGTGTACATAGACAAACCTTATCTTAGTGTGCATTGACTCTAAATTGCAAGTCCTCAATCCTTTTTTCTATTCGATTCAAAAAACAGTAAATAGCATGTTCTGGCTGTTTACGCTCAAACAGCAATCATCTACTTTATGCACTAATCTTGACTGATCACTTTTTATGCATCATGTTTACAGTATTTGGCCATCAAGTAGGCATAATCATTCACAGTTCACTAAGATTCCTTACTTCACGTCAAATTAAATTTGAACCTTAGTTTTATTAAATAGACAAATCACTGGAGCGACCTGACTTAAGCATGTAGTAAATCCTTATTTACCAACACGTTCTCATCAATTTGGTAGGACAAAGCTCAATGGCCTTTACTAACATATATAGTTCTTCAACGTCTATCTCAAATTCATGGTCAATTTTGTCTTTACTCACCTCTTAAAATAAACTTTTGAGGTTTAATGTCCTTTTTTGACCTTTGATAGTTACTTACTAACGTTTACCTATCGTTTGAACATCAAAATTAATCTACTTTTACTGTTCTACATATATTTTTGATAATTTGATATACGATCAACGTAATAGGTTTTGTCTATGCCATTCAAATATGAGTGCATTTCATCGCCCACTAAATAAAGCTATATATGTATATCTACTTTCTAAAATCTTCCATCTAAACACTTACTACCGTGAAATTAATATGAAAAACTGGTGTTTGCTCTTGTCTTACAGGAACTAATCAATTTCCGATATTCGGAAGATACAATGTACAATGGGGTAGTCGAAAACTGCTTACGTTTTAGCCAACTCAATTACATTTTAACTGTGTTAAAAAAGCATTCCTGGAAAATTTATTATAAACTTAATATATCGGTCTAAATAAAAACAGAGAACAGTTATCTCCTCTTATCCCAAGACTAATAAGTTTATTCAAGATTTACCTTTCTCACTATTAATAGCACTTTAGAAATAGTTATGGAGTGTATTTGCGTTGGTTGTGTGATCTTAAACGGTCGTGGTGCTTATAAAAACTTATAATAAAATTCGATTTCACCTTTACACTTATGGTATGCTAGTTTGTTTAGGAAGAACAGTGAACGATATTATTGTGTATGCAATTTACTAGCTTCATACTAAATCAATCATCAATCAACTAAATACCAAGTCAGCAACTAATCTACCACGTGCCCATTCAAACTGTCAGTTCAAATCCCATAGTGGTAGAGATAGTTGAAGTATTAGCAGTAATGGAGGATAGAGAAAGTGGACAGCTCTGACGAACACCATTCGAGGTAATGAATTCCGATGGCAGTTCGCCATAAACTCTGCCTCGACCAATAGTGTTCGAGTAGAGAGCTTGTCTAAGGTTAACATGCTTCAACGACAGTCACTGCCACAGAACCTCACAACCGACAGAGTCGAATGCTGCCTTAAGGTTCAGGATTACAACTATTGTTGGACGCCGAAATGTCTGTCTATGTTCCAGAACCTGAAGAAGTGTGAATATCTGGTCTTTACATCCACGTCCAGGTCTTAGAATGAAAGGTATTATATAGCTATCACATCACATTTCTATTCACATTACACAAAAACCAACCAATTACTAGTTTAACTCTCTAAGCAAAGAATTTGGTGTTTGTCACATACAGAATATTGCTCTAAAACTCTTTCATTCACTTTTAATACAAAAATCAGATTATAGAACAGTCAAAAATGTTACTAATACCATTTGTTTAATTTTATACATCCACTCTAATGATAAATGAGATCTTGTCACATTCTTCAAATTCATCTTTTATTTGATCGCAGTAAAACATTGGACTTCAAAAGAAACCACTCTATAAATATTATAAAAGGTAAGAGGGAATTAATCTATTCCATAACTTCAATACTTCGTCTATCCGAATCATAAAATTGGTTATTATCGAGTGACCAACATTCAGAATTTTTTAACTAGTTCATTCACCAAGTTCTTGGGTATGAGTCATACTCTAAACGTTAGGGGTAGTGACACTAACTAGTTGCTAAACCGAAGTGAGGCGGGGTTCAGACCTGGTACTTAGTGGTTGAAAGTCGAATGCCTTCACCATTAAATCAGCTCTCCACCAACATAAAAAGTTAAACAATTCACAAAAGCTTTATTTTCTAACAATTTAATTTTCCCTAGTTCGGATCTCAAGTGGGTACCACTAGCTGGTCAAGAGGATCACTTTAATGTCAATAATCCTCCTATACCGGTATCTCCAACAATACTTATTAATAAATTGGCACTTGGAGACGAAATTGAAGCTCGATGTGTTGCAGTGAAAGGAATTGGTCGAGATCATGCTAAATTTTCACCAGTTGCGGCAGCTTATTATAAATTTCATCCTATTATTAAACTTCTTCGTACAGTTGAAGGAGAACAGGCAGTTAAATTACAAAAAAGTTTCGCATCTGGTGTGATTGGAGTAAGTACTTACCTCATATGATTTATATTCTTCTGGGGTTTTAAGTAGTGAGTTACCTTATCAGTCCTCCTCTCATCTAATATTGACCAGCCAGATACGATCAATAAGCTTTCATTAAATATATACAACTCGAAGGCTAGTACATAAACATGGACGGTTACCTAATAAAGCAGGATGGTTTCCATGTTTTTAGATTGCTGGAAAAGAAAAATTAGTAAGTTATCTATCAATCCTGATGCAATCTGTTCCCTTTGTCTGTTAGATGTCAAACAGCTAGATTCTTGGAAAAAATTATCTAAGTTGCCCCGTTTATTTTCGTGAAACAATCTAGACCAATCTAATACATTAATTGTCATTGGTTGTTATTATTAAGAATTTAAAACATACCACTAAGACCTGCTATCCTGCGTAGTCTCATATTGATCCAAACTTTTTCAAATTCAATCACAAGAAGGATCATTTTTGATAATGTCATAGTCAAGTAGTGACTGTTTGTTGAGTAAATAAGAAAGTTTGTTTTTGATCACTTCATTTACTTTATTTTAGGAGGCTGACTGGTATCACATAAACATTAGTAGGCAAGGGAACCGAAATATGTGCCACACAAATCAATGAATTTACGTATGGGTTGGGATACTGCTCGCGTGCCTAAATCAAAGCAGATGGGTTTTTCGAAGCCTACTTCCTGAACCTTTGGTCTAGAGGTCTGATCTACAAGGTAGTGGTGCGACGTTAGGAGATGCAGTCCCATGAAAGCCAGTGACCAAGAATAAGTTCTTACGCCACTTAGTCTTTCAAGATCCTCCTCCGTACCCACAAACCTAGTTTAAGCTGCCACTGGATGTTAACTTTTTGTCCACAAAATTTCTTAAACAAACTCACCTCACCCTTGGTCGTACGAGGGCAATTGGCGATGAGTCGTATGAGTATACAACAGAACCACTAGATGATCAATGCTTTCTTACAAGTAAAATGCACCCTACTTGCTGGTATGATTTATCTTCCATCATAATCTTTAGTTTTAAGGTATTTGAATCATTTCAGAAACCAAGTGAAGTATACTATTATGCAATTTAATAGTTCAATATCTGTTGACTACGTTTCACAGCGAAACTCATCAGAAAGTCATGTTAATCAGTTGTATTTTACACATTTCTTTTTAACCTAGATAAATTCAAGAACTGGTCATGCCTTTGTCGATAATGCTCGTTTAGATAATGGTTCTCGGGAGCATATGCGCCATCCTGAATTCCGCGATGTTATTTTCGTTGGAATGGATTCATCACATTGTATTTTCACTGTTGAAACCATAGCGCCTGGTAGCCGACCTCCATCATCATTAGTCCGTTGTGCTTTAGGTGTTATGATTAGTAAATGTTCACATTATATGGCTGTTACAGAAACACCTGGTTTTGGAGAGCACGTTGAAGAGTGTAAACCACTCATTGATATATCTAAAGATAACACTGAAAGTCATACAACTGAAAGAAATGTAGTAAGTCATAGTATTCCATTCCTGTAGTTTAATTTTGTTGAAGATATAAAAGTCCACTATGTCTCAAGACTCAGGAAATGTAGACGTCATCGGATGCTGGTCCAGTGATCTAGAGGTTGGACGTTTGCACGTGCGTTTGACTCCCGCTTGCGTGGTCATGAATGCGCACTACTGATAGGGCTAAACCACTGCCCAGTGCTTCTAGGTTTCGAATAGTGATCTAACGCTGATCGACTCATGATTTCAATGAAAAAGAAGGATATTTATTATTACCTCCTGTTTGTTTTATGTGTATAGTGTTGAATTATCTGTTGACTAGAATAGATAATGACTTATTTGTGTTGAGTATATTAATGTAAGATATGTTATTAGCTAAATATTGACTAGTATTAAATTGTGCCCCTATTTTGTCGATAAAATCTATCTCAAAGTGCAATGCAAGTACTAAGCTAAGGAGAATGCTTTTATGTTTCATTGTTACACAACAGAGAATACTTTTAGCTCTTGAAAACGATTCAAATTTTGTTACATCCTATACATCGCTTACTTGTCATTCTTCCATAGTCCTTTAAAACAGTATCATTAGTACATACTTCAAAAAGTGGTTAACTATCAGAATTTTTTCATGATCAACTAACAGCTTATTCTGGTAACTTAGAACAAACAAAAAAGTTGTTAGTCGATGGTGGAGAAATTGTAATAGCTCACTACTTTCTGAAATACGTGATAATGGTGTTTTCGAGAAAGAAAACACCACGACTAAACCATCTAACTTAAAGGATTTTGATTACGCACTTGTTGATACTTGTCATCAAAACTTACAGAAAACCTTGGTCATAAAAATAAGTGAAGGAAAGTAAGAAGGAATAACATGGCGCAAAACTCAAGGCTCACAAAGAAGCCATATTTGACACTCAACCTCTATGTTTAGCACTTTATAGCGCTTCAGGATAAGCCGAGTCTAGTTATGCAAGACAGTTCTCAATCACTTTGGGCTGCTGAGGCGTTTATAGCTCCTTAGGGTTACTCGCTATATGTGTCTTATCCACTTCCAGCGCTTCTTCCTGATTTCTTGCTGAGCTGGAATCTGGTTTGTTCTCTCCTACAGTAGGCTGTTGCTGATGGTTTCTGGCCAGCGGATCCGAAGTACTCCGCGTGAGAAACTGTTAGTAAAAACTTGTATCTACCGGATGATGACTTTCGTAGTTTTCCAAATTTCCGCCCCATATAGTAGAACTGTCTTGATATTTTGATTAAAAATTCAGACTTTGGTGTTGGTCGGTAGTTGTTTCGAGTTCCAAATATCCTCCAGTTGTAGAAATTCTGCCCTTAGCTATCCTGATCTGTGCCTTCATATCTGCATCAGATCTACCTTGCTCATAAATGAGGCTGTCCAGATATGTAAGGGTTTTTGTATCCTCGAAGCCTCTCCGTCAATTGTGATTTGGTTGGTGCATGTTGTGTTGTGTCAGAGAATCCTGCCTTTTCCTTTGTGCCCGTTGAAACCTACCACTGCAGAGGCTCCCGCTACACTAATCGTCTTCTCTTGCACATGTGTGTGGGATGGAGAAACTAGATCATCTGCGAAGTCCAAATCGTCCAGCTGCATCATGGCTGTCCATTGGATACCGTGCTTTTCTGCAGATGTTAACGTCTTCATAATCCAGTCGCTCACCAGGAGAAAGAGAAAGGGTGAGAGTAAGCAAGCTTGTCTGACACCGGTGTTAACCTCGAACGAGTCTATGAGCTGTCCTCCATGCATGATTTTGTAGTTTAATCCATCATAAGAGTTCCGTATCATATTGACTATCTTCTCAGGGACGCCATAGTGTCATCCTGTCAACGCTGTGGAATGCTTTCTCGTAGTTAATGAAGTTGATGTACAGCGGTGAATTCCATCCAGTTGATTGTTTCACAATGATCCGTAGTGTCATCGGCATATTCTAGATCAGTAAGCGATTTTCCTGATAGAAGAATTTTCAGGGGTTGACCTTCTACCAGGAAAATCGCTTACTGATCTAGAATATGCCGATGACATAGTTCTGTTCGGTGAAGACGCTGACGAAATGCAGAGACTTCTGACTACCATAGGCAACAATGCGAGCATGTTCGGGATGTGGTTTTCCCCCTCGAAATGCAAAGTGTTGCTTCAAGATTGGGTTCCATTGGCACCTGAACTAGTGATAGGGAGTGAAGTGGTCGAACGTGTAGACCGCTTCACTTATCTTGGGAGTCTCATCAGTGCCGATGGCCTGGTGACTGACGAAATCTCAGCACGGATACAGAAAGCTCGATTGGCTTTTGCCAACCTGCGTCACTTATGGCGTAGGCGAGATATCCGTTTGCTGACTAAAGGACGAGTGTACTGCGCAGTGGTTCGCTCCGTCTTACTTTATGGCTGTGAAACATGGCCAATGAGAGTAGAAGATACTCGTCGGTTATTGGTTTTCGATCATAGGTGTCTTCGAAGCATTGCTCGTATATCGTGGGACGCCCGAGTGAGCAATGCTGTCGTTAGGAAACGGGTACTAGGTAAGAATGGCAGATCAATAGATGAAGTGGTGAAACTTCATCAGTTGAGGTGGTTGGGACATGTGCTGCGTATGCCTAACCGCCGACTGCCTCGACGAGCTATGTTTTGTGGTATAGGAGTAGGTCGGAAGAAAGTTAGGGGCAGCCAAACCAAAACATGGCAGAAATCCATGAAGTCACTGACTAGTGGACTGAGTCATGTTGGTAGATGTAGACTACCTGGTTGGGGTCCGTGAGACGAAAGTCACCAATGGTCAGAGACCTTGAACGACATGGCTCAAAATCGTTTGCAATGGCGCAAGTGCATCCATTCGTTGATCTCTCTCAAATCCTAATCTTCTGGATTCGTCAATACCTCTGCCTTTGTCTTTCTAACCTTATCTCACTGAATTATACTTCTTGAATAGTATCTTCAAACCCTAGTCTTCTTCATTACCATTAATACCTCTACTATCTTTATCACTATGGGATTTGATTAGACATTTGCGTCTCTGTGCTAATAATGTGGTATGGCAACATGAACCCATGTACACACGTACGAAGTTCTACGTTGCAACTGACTGACTGTAGTGTCGCGGTCCGGTCGGTACACGATCTATACTTACGGAATCCAGCCTGTGAATCTCAAAGTTGGGTGTCTACGGAGTCCTTTATTCTGTCTAACAACCCTCTGTTGAAGACTCGGCCGTAGCTGCTACCTTGACGTGGTGGTCGGGCTTGCCTATCGTGATGACCCAACCGAGCTATACTGGCTGGAACATATGTTCCTCAAGGTTCTACCATGCCAGACAGGTCGATTTGAGAACGATGAGAGTAAAAGCAGCTACCCAAGGTCTGAGGGCGAAGTCGTACTGCTGACTGCAGAGGGGTGTGACAGCAGTAAGGTGTTTCCCTCGGACAACCAGCATCTGCAGCTTTCTAACCAGGAAGGAAGGGGCTAGAAAAGGTCGGCCCTAAAAATGTCACACCTCCCCTACCTCACGGATTTCCGTCTCCTTGGGTAAGGGTGACCGGTCTCCAGCAGTTGTCCCTTGGGCTCTGCGGTCACGCACCAACACTAATCTATCTTCCTTTTCAGGTTCCTCAAGAAACAACCTTCCACGGTGTGGGCAGCCGGGAAGTGACAACCGCCCTCATACTCATAACAGCACGCGAGACCAAATTGGTCAAAATCAAATCCTTCCTACACCCCCTAATGTCTCTCTTATCTCCACGACTAACTCTTCTCACATTCATTCATCACAATGCACAGCTAATGCAGACGATACGAGTTCGCGAAACGTCGTTCCTGGTCTCCTTAAACCTCGCTTTAGACTACATGTTGGAGCATTTAATGTACGGACATTGTGTCAAATAGGGCAACAGGCTTCCTTAGCTAGGACTTTAGAAACTCGTGCCATCGATGTATGCTGCGTCTGGGAAACGCGCATACAGGATTCTAGTAAAATTATTAATCTGATTTCACCTTTTCAAAAAGAAGCAGTTCGATTTACTCTTCGTGTATCCGGTAGCCCTGATGCTGCTTCTAGGGGCCTCGCCGGTGTAGGTATAGCACTGAGTCGTAGGGCAGAACAATCTCTCCTTGACTGGATCCCTGTCGATAGTCGCTTGTGCGCTGTCCGACTAAACGGGACAGTAAGGACTCGGAAAGATAGGGACAATCGCCGTCTCCTCTTCATCGTATCTGCCTATGCCCCCACTGAATGCAGTTCAGACGAGGTTAAGGATGAGTTTTACAGAAAGCTCTCGGACCTCCTCCGAAAAGCTAGGCGCTCTGATATAGTAATAATGGCTGGTGACTTTAATGCTCAAGTAGGTAGACTAAGTGAGCAGGAGAGACACCTAGGTGGATGTTATGGTGTCGCGGCTCAGAGAGCAGACAATGGTGACCGTCTGTTGCAAGTATGCTCAGACAACCGCCTATTCTTAGCAAACACTAACTTTAGGCATAAGGAAAAGCATCTGTTGACCTGGCGACCTCCAAAGTCGTCTCAACGTTGGACTCAACTAGATCACATCGCCATCAGCCACCGATGGAGGGGTTCGATAGAGGACTGTCGCTCGTTCTGGAGCACATGTCTAGATTCAGATCATGCCCTAGTGCGAGCGCGTATTTGTTTGAAGCTTACTGGGCGTAGGAAAGACACTGTAAGAAAGCCTCTTAGGGTTTTACTTAATGATAATAAGGCGAAAAATACATTTCAGGAACAACTAGAAAGACAGTTAGGCGACCATGTAAGCGATTCCCATCCGGAAGCAGGATGGAATGATATCAAAAAGGCTGTGGAAACAGCAGTGATATCTGCTAGTAAGGTTGACCATAAGGCTAGAATGAAACCGTGGATCTCAGTAGCATACACCGATCTGATGGATGCCCGAAAACTTATCCCACCTGGCTCTGAACATGATGAAGAACGAAGTCAACTTAGGCGCAGACTTATAAAAGGCCTACGTGGTGGGTGGCGAAAGCAAAAGCGATGGAAAAGGCAGCGGCGATAAGCAACAGTAGACAACTTTTCCGACTTATCAAGGAAACTGGTATTAGGAATCCTAGTGTAAGTGAGACTATCTCAAAAAATGACGGGACTGTTATTTATTCTCAATCCAGGAGACTGGATCGATGGGCAGAACACTTCAGGGATCAGTTCAACTGGCCTCGAGCCACTCTTCGGTTACTCACGATCTCCAGTCATCCTGAATGGCAAATCGACGTAAGTCCCCCTAGTCTTAATGAAGTTGAAAAAGCGTTAGGAAATCTGAAGCGAGGACGAGCTGCAGATCCTGATAGACTGACCCCTGAGATATTTAAGGATGGTGGTCCAGTTTTAGCAGCTAGGTTGACTGAGATCTTAGGTAGAATCTGGGAACTGGACGTAATCCCATCCGACTGGTCCCAATCACTGATTGTCCCAATCTATAAGAAAGGACAGAATTCTTCTTGTGACAATCACAGGGGAATAAGTCTAACTAATGTAGTATCTAAAATATTGGCCTCAATAATACTTAGATGCCTTACTAGTGCTCGTGAAGAGCAGACTCGAGAAAACCAGTCTGGTTTTCGACCTGGACGTGGCTGTATAGACCACATTTTCACACTACGACAGGTCCTGGAACACAGAAACACATTTAGGCGTCATACAATAGTTGTTTTCCTAGACCTTAAGGCGGCATTTGACTCTGTGGATCGTGAGGTTCTGTGGCAGTGTCTGTCATTGAAAGGTGTACCAAAGAAGTACATTAACCTCATACAAGCTCTCTACTTGAACACCACTGGTCGAGTGAGAGCTTATGGCGAACTGTCACCGGAATTCTCTACTTCAAGTGGTGTCCGTCAGGGATGTCCACTTTCTCCATTCTTGTTTAATTTTATCATAGACATGCTCCTAGAAATAACCTTATCCTCGTCTGAATTTTCTGGAGTAGACCTTTTACCAGGTGACTCGCTTATTGACTTAGAATATGCCGATGACATTGTCCTACTTGGTGAAGACGCTGACAAAATGCAGAGTCTTCTGACTACCATAAGCAACAATGCAAGCATGTTCGGGATGCGGTTTTCCCCCTCGAAATGCAAAATGTTGTTTCAAGATTGGGTTGCATTGGCACCTGAACTAGTGATAGGGAGTGAAGTGGTCGAACGTGTAGACCGCTTCACTTATCTGGGGAGTCTCATCAGTGCCGATGGCCTGGTGACTGACGAAATCTCAGCACGGATACAGAAAGCTCGATTGGCTTTTGCCAACCTGCGTCACTTATGGCGTAGGCGAGATATCCGTTTGCTGACTAAAGGACGAGTGTACTGCGCAGTGGTTCGCTCCGTCTTACTTTATGGCTGTGAAACATGGCCAGTGAGAGTAGAACATATTCGTAGGTTACTGGTTTTCGATCATAGGTGTCTTCGAAGCATTGCTCGTATATCGTGGGACACCCGAGTGAGCAATGCTGTCGTTAGGAAACGGGTACTAGGTAAGAATGGCAGATCAATAGATGAAGTGGTGAAACTTCATCATTTGGGGTGGTTGGGGCACGTGTTGCGTATGCCTAACCAGCGACTGCCTCGTCGAGCTTTGTTTTGTAGTGTAGGAATAGGTTGGAAGAAAGCTAGGGGCGGCCAGACCACAACATGGCAGAAATCCATGAAGTCATTGGCGAGTGGACTTAGCCATGTCGGTTATTGTCGACTACCTGGTTGGAGTCCGCGAGATGATAATAATTGATGGCTAGAGACCTTGAATGACATGGCTCAAAATCGTTCGCAATGGCGCCAGTGCATTTATTCTTTGTGTTCTCTCAAATCCTAATCTTCTGGATTCTTCAACACCTAGTTTTTACTTTCTAAACTTGTCTCATTGAATCATACTTCTTGAATAATATCTTCTAATTCTAACCTCTCCGATTACTTCTAATACCTTTACTACCTCTTCTACTATTGGATTTGAATTGACAATTATATCTCTGTGCTGATGTGGTATGGCGACATGAACTGATGTACTTACGTACGAAGTTCTACGTTGCAACTGACTGACTGACTGACCTCTGTCGAAGACTTTCCCTGTTACTGATAGTAGAGTAATACCTCTGTAGTTCTGACACGTGCTGAGATTGCCTTTCTTTGGTATCTTGATCAGGTGTCCTTCTTTGCATTCTGTCGGTAATTGTTCTTCATCCCAAATCGTGCTAAAGGGAATGTGGAGTATCTTTGCAGTTACTGCTACGTCTGCTTTCAGCGCCACTACTGGAATGTTGTCTGGTCCTGCTGCTTTTGATTTGTCTGACGGCTATGCTGATCTCTTCAATTGTTGGTGGCCTAACATTGATTGGGAGGTGTGCGGGTGCTGCTTCGATGTTGGGTGGGTTCAGTGGATCTGGTCGATTCAAGAGTTCTTCATTTATTATTTTAGAGTCAAAGTATATCAACGCAATGTACAATTGTGAAGGATCAAGAAGAAGGGAAAACTCACATTTACAAGTAAAGTAGTAAACTACGATAGAAAAATATATATATTATGATTGAAGGGATTTTCACAAACAAAACTCTTGAGAAAAATCCTACCAAATCTGCGTAAATTATCTGAAAAGTTTGATCATAGTTATTGAATAACTTGTAAGGATCTTTTTTTAACTCAACTTAATATTCAACATCAATCATACCAGAAAATATAAGGTTCTTGATAACGTTTAACAAAATTCTGTTAACGATTGAAATAGATTTTATATTTAATAACTTATCAATTTTTTTATGTGTATATTCTAACTACTTAGTATGTATGTACATCAGTTCATGTTGTCATACCAAATTAGTACACAGAGATCGGATTGTCAATTCGAAACCTATAAGTAATAGAGGTAGTGTGGTGTGAGCTACTTATAAGTAGTATATGACGTGAGTGTAAACATAATGTCCGGCAGCATAATATGGGGGAAGATCAAGAAAGGAAGAGTTAGAAAACGATGGAATTTATATGAAACGCATGAATAGTAACAATGGATTGATGTTTTGCAACAGGAACAGTCCAGTTCGATATGATGAACTGATCTTTTGCAAATGAACAATTTACGATATGGTTTTCCGATTTTACTGAGTAACTCTATAATTTTCGTTAAATACAATTCGGTTGCCCCACCTGTGTCCTCATTCACTACAGTAGTAAAAGTATCAGCGGTAATCGAAAAGATTTGTGGATCGAAAATATGATTCAAGTAGTTATAATCCAGTGAAATAAATGTAAACAGAGAAAAATGTAGATTATGAGGAATTCAGTAGATCAGAAGTTGAGAGAAAACAAAGAATGGAATAATAATAGTCGACTAAAAAAAATGAAGGCTTTTCCAACTTTGTGAAAATATGATTTATTTCTTCAATTCTACTGACAATTACATTTTTTCACCTTTTATTATAATTTAATGACATGTTTAATTGTAATTCTTATTTAAAAACTAATTATTTAGTTGTGTTTTACAGCTAATCCCAAAAGGTAATCGTAGTTATTTGAATGGACGTGAAGTTGGACTTGAAGTAGCACATATTTCACATGATAAATTACGTGCAACATTCACATTCTTCGGTGAAGATCATACATTAGGTTTAGCGCTTAGATATTGTATTTTACGTGAGTAAGTCTTCTAGTTTTTATTCGTTTTATTCTCTTTATTTGTAGTGTTTTACTAGTAGGAATGATGCTTAGTATTTGAAAGAAAATAGAGATTTAAAATGCAACTACGTCATTGCAATAAATTTTAAGTCATGTCACTTGTTTGAAAACATAAATTATGACCATTTTTCAAGTCTGTAATCAATAAGTCTGCAGCTACTTACTGATGTAGTTCAAGTTTAAATAACCAAGTTTTTAGATGCTGTAGTAGATTGTGTTAGATTCGTAACCGGATGATATAAAGAAGAGTAGGATTTAATTGTGACCAATTTGGTCTCGTATGCTGTTATGGGTATGAGAGCGGATGTTACTTCCCGGCTGCCCACACTGCGGAAGGGTGTTTATTGAGGAACCTGAAAAGGAAGGTAGATTAGCGTTGGTCTTAGAGACTTGGGAGCGTGGCTTCAGAGCCGAAGGGACAACTGCTTGAGGCCGGTTACTCACAGTTGACCTCTTCTAACACCTTCGTTCCTTGTGAGAAGGCAGCATCGCTGCAGATGCTGGTTGTTCGAGGGAATCACCTTACTTCTTTCTGTCACACCCCTATACAGTCAACAGTACGACATTACACTCAGACCTTGGGTAGCTGCTTTTAGTCTCATCGTTCTCCAATCGACCTGCTTGGCATGGTAGAACCTACAGAAACAAATGTTCCGGCCAATATAGCTCGGTTGGGTCATCACAATAGGCAAGCTCGGCCACCACGTCAAGGTAGCAGCTACGGTCGGGTATAAAGAAAAGCAATATTCATTAACTGATACATAGTTCTGATAAAGGACACGCTGTAAATGTATCTATATTTCATGGGATATATATATATATATATATTGTGTGTGTATACTATGCGAACTCATATAGTCAAATTTTGACTGTGATAATTATTAAGAATAGCTTATTCATTCTTGACTCTGTTTTCTAAATGATAGATGAATTCCAAAACTAATCAATAACATTTTACCTGATTTTCATTATCATTCCATTACATCTTTTTTTTTTCTGTACAACATATATTCTCATAGTATTAATTTTTGTTGTTTTTTTTATGCTATCTTTTTTTTAAAGTTTCAGTTATATACTTACTTACTGCATAGTTTATAATACATTTTCACTCCTATTTTTCATCCCAGTGAATTAGTTCGATTTTGTGGTTATTGTGTACCTCATCCATTAGAGGATATGATCAATTTTGATATTCAAATGAAAAGTAAGATAGATGAAACTGTTGTTTGGTTTTTTTTTCCTTCTTTTTTTTAATAGTTGATTTTATTTTGAACAATGTATAAAATGTACTAATGTATTAGCCTTCCACGGTGTAGGCAGCGGGGAAGTGACAACCGCCCTCATATCCCCTTAACAGCACACGAGACTAAATTGGTCACAAACAAATCTTTTATACTTCTTGAATAATATCTTCTAATCCTAACCTCTCCAATTACTTATAATACCTATACTACCTCTTCCACTATTGGATTTGAATTGACAATTATATCTTTGTGCTTATGTGGTATGGCAACATGAACTGATGTACGTACTTACGTACGAAGTTCTACGTTGCATCTGACTGACTGACCAATGTATTTGACATTATATTCTCTTTAAATGTACTGTCAAATAAAAGCATCACAAAAGATTTCCAACTGAGAGAAGAATAAATCAAGCAATAATTTTGTTAATATGTATACTGTTTCTAATAAGTAAATCACACTGCTCAGTTAATGTCCATTTTCTTTTTAATGCATAGTAATAATCGTAATAATAATAATAATGTGAGTAGAATTGCCTTAAGAATAATTTTTGAAAAAAAAGTCATTCTAAGATATAAAAAATCAATGTTTAAAACCACTAATTGTTTTTATTTTGGATTTACGTGAATGTAGTAACCGTAATTTTTAAGAATTTCGAAAATTAGAAGTTTGAAATCTTCCAGTGATGTAGTAGTAATAATAGTAATGGTAGTAGTGTAGTGAACGAGAACACAGGTGGGGCAACCGAATTGTATTTATCGAAAATTATAGAGTTACTCAGTAAAATCGGAAAACCATATCGTAAATCGTTCATTTGCAAAATATCAGTTCATCCTATGGAACTGGACTGCTCCTGTTGCAAAACATCAATCCATTGTCACTATTCATGCGTTTCATACAAATTCCATTGTGTTCTTCTAACTCTTCCTTTCTTGATCTTCCCCCATCTTCTGCTGCCAGACATTGCATTTACACTCACGTCATATACTACTTATAAGTAGCGCGCGCCACAGTAGTAGTAGTAGTATTGGTGATATATCGAATTCTTTCTTATCTTCTCATTCTTGTGCATCTTATTTACTCTGCATTAATTTTCATATCACCACTTATATACCACTTTTATACTCATTCTATTTGTACTGATATTCTTTTAAATGAATTTTTACTACATGGGTTGGCTGATCAATAGATGAATTAATGAAACTTCATTAATTGAGGTAGTTGAGACATGTGTTGCGTATGCCCAACCACCGGCTGCCTCGTCGAGCCTTGTTTTGTAGTGTAGGAATAGGTTGGAAGAAAGTTAGAGGCGGCCAAACCAAAACATGGCAGAAATCCATGAAGTCATTGACAAGTGAACTGAGTCATGTCGGTAGTTGTCGACTACCTGATTGGGGTCCGCGAGATGCTGGTAAACGATGGTTAGAGACCCTGAATGACATGGCTCAAAATCGTTTGCAATGGCGCCGGTGCATTCATTCTTTGTGTTCGCTCAAATCCTAACCTGAGTTCCTCATCATCTCTATCTTTCTCTTTCTAAATTTACCTCACTGAATTATACTTGTTGAATAACATCTTCGAACCCTAATCTCTCCGATTACTGTTAATACTTTTACTACCTCTACTACTATGGGATTAGAATTGACAATTGCGTCTCTATGCTAATATGGTATGGCAACATGAACTGATGTACGTACGTACGCACGAAGTCCTACATTGCAACTGACTGACATGGTTAGAATATAGCTTACTGAACTAAACATTGTAATGTAAATCAAATTAATGTTCATTTGGACATTTATATTTACCTTTTATCAATAATCATTATTGAAGTATCAAACTTGACATTTACTCTTCAAATATATTACACTTTTGTTGTGTTCTATGTATGTATTTGTATAAGACTTTGACTTACCAGTTCCATGTTCAAACTCCTTTCTACATACTTCGGTTTTAGGCGACTAAGTAATATCAGTAGTCGTTATATAAACGGAATGTTTCACAGGCAATTACATAAACTTGTACCTGTTACATAAATCACGTTATTCATTTCATTTACTCTAATATTTCCATACACTTATTGATCGTGATTGAATTATGGATGATTTCAATCAATAAGTTTTACATTAATTTGTAACAATAACAACTAAAGTGAAAAAGTATCATCCGAAAATTAAGTTTAATTTTACATATTTAGGTTATATAGTTACATCGTTTAGATATATATGTAACATCTAGTTACACAACTAACACATGATCTTAGCTCAGAGAGCCGAGAAGCCTCCGTAAAGCACCACTCTTCTTGTGGTGTCTGGAACGCTCTTGTCGGCCCTTGAAAATCCGAGCGAGGCAGTATAATTTTCGTGGCAGGCCGTACCCGTATCCGCAGCAGGTCTCCAAGGTGAACAGCCTCTGACAATTGAACAATGTAGGTAAGGGAAGTCGGCAAATTGGATCCTCAACTTAAGGAGAAGGATTGACTCTGGGGACCGAGATCAGATACGTGTCGGTCCAGTTGGGGGCTGGTTTCTTTGCTGCTTTGTGTGCTCCGGTGCGCATTGTGGTGAGGTTACTGGACTCTGACCCGAGTCGATCGTGGGCGGTTTCAGCTGTTAGTGTCGTGCAGCTAGCAACGCGTGAGGACTTGTTCCACGTTGCGTCAAGCGGCTGTGCTTCCATGGTCTGGCGCGCGACGGCTAACTCAGAACTGGCACGGACCAGGGGAATCCGACTGTCTAATTAAAACAAAGCATTGTGATGTCCTCTGATTGGTTTTGACGCAATGTGATTTCTGCCCAGTGCTCTAAATGTCATAGTTACACAACTACTTACTGTTCTTACTTACTTATGCCTGTTATCCCCAATAGACCATAGGCCGCCAACCAGTTTTTTACTGTTCGTAGTAAAATTAAATTAAATTATATGATTTATTTGTTAATTGAGATCAAGTGCCTGAACTGATATTATCAATTTTCTAATCATAGACAGACAGACAGATACAACGCAGAACTTCGTACGTAAGTACATCAGTTTAGGTTGCCATACCACATCAGCACAGAGACGGAACTGTCAGTTCAAATCCAAGAGTCATAGCAATAATAGAAGTATTAGCAGTAATGGAGAAGATTAGGGAGCGAAAATATGATTCGAGAAGTATAATTCAGTAAAATAAACTTAGAAGGAGAAAGGTAGAGATGATGAGGAATGCAGAAGCTTAGAATTTCATAGAATCATAATCACGCATTTACTTAACAAATAAAAATAAAAATCTTTATGTTCAACATTTCAGGTGGTTCAGCTATCGATGCACTACGAAATGGTCTCCAATGTTTACGAGATTGTTTTCAGCATATGAAGCAAACATTTATATCGGCAATGAAAATATCAAAAAGCAGTAGAAAATAATAATAATAATCATGAACTTGTTTCTCTTCTCAATTGTATATTTTCGTTTGAATTTTGTCAAACTGTTTGTGTTGTTTGCCATGCTGTTGTAACAAAAAGAAACTGTATAAAAGAAAAAACAAATTCGAAAATTGAGAAATATAGAATTTTTTAACAATGATAATTGATTATTATTCAAATAAATTTTGTTGATTACAGCTTAAACAGTATGTAACGGGAAAAAAAGAAAGATCAAACAGTGTACTTAAACCGCTCATATTTAAAAAAACACAAGAGTGTATATAGAGATTTATTTTAATATCGTGTCATCCAACAGACTTTAAACTGTTGTGTAATTGTAAAAGGTTACCGCAGATGGCGTGATCAGATGATGTTTGAAATAAAAATGTTACTTGTGACTAGTTGCAACACAACTGTTGTATTGAGAAGTCACACATGTGTATATATGCCTTAACACAAGTGGTAAGGTTGTACCTACAAGTGTAGACTCACTTAACATCAAAAATATTAACAAACTATCACGATATCTATATGTTCCATATTTGTTTCTAGTCAAACTTCGAATAGAATTTATCTCGGTTAAACATAAAACCACCCAACCAACTTGTCAGTATCTTGAGATTGAAAATCTCATAACCAACACACCATTGACTACGACATAGACTTGACATTTTCCCTAACAAAGTACAGTTTTGACTTACATATTTGCCGACCGCATTCATTCAGCCATCTAACAATATGGGTTAATCTATACTGCAAACAAGCTAGCTATCTGGTCATCAACTGCTGATCTTAGTCTTATTTATTTCTTCTGGACCAGCTAGAGGTTTTCTCGTGGATTTGATCACAACGTAGTTTTTAGAACCCACTGGATTAAGTTGGATCTTGGCGTTTTATTGCATGGTAATCTCTGCGAAACACTACTCCCTAAATATAAGGAGCTCTGTTTCTAATCCGTGTAACAAAATTGGTTTTGAGATTGTGTTGTGGTCAAAACAGACATGTAAAACTCTCATATCTGTGTGTTCAAACCAAGCATGTGGTCGCTAATTGTATTAGCCTCATCACGCTGGTTGGCTTACTTGGTTAATTTTTATTTACCTATACTTATTTGTTTCCTCTATTTCATTACTTTGCCGAATCATATTCGAGACACATTGAGTAACTGATATTAGACGCTTCGAACTTATTTTGTTACAGTGAAGACTAAACCCGTCTTATATAGTCCTGGATTTGTTACACCATAATAGAATTGTCGGCTACTCTATTGCCGATGTGATTTCTATTCAATATAATGTCTGGTCATTCTAGTGCTGTTGTCAATACGAATTCAATGCATTTGCGTAGGGGTCTAAGTGAAGACTATTATTCAGTTCTCCTGTATTCATTTTACTTTATTACGGTTATATTGTTTTTTATAAATGTGCTTTTCAATGAATTCAACTGTCCGAAAATGTATTAAGGAGCATTGCTATTCTAATTCTTTTCGTCATCAACTTAGAGTAAACAAGTATTTTCGACTGCTATTGAAACAACAAATTCAACCCGCTGTGCGATAAGTCAGTTGCTTTACCTGTATTTTTTACGACTGAAAAACTTCCCTCTTGTCCGACTTGAACAGAAGCGTAGAGTATTTTCAGGGGATATCCACTACCAAAACCGTACACTAAAAGCTTCAACATGTAGTCTGGAACGGGGTTTCGAAAGACCAGGAATGACGTTTCGTGAACCCGCTTCGTTTAAATTAGCGGTGCAGTCAGATAAGGGAATGCGAATAGAGTTATTTGTGGAGATAAGAGAGGTATGTGAGGGCGTAGGAAGGATTTGATTTCGAATAATTTGGTCTCGTGTGCTGTTACAGGTATGAGGGCGGTTATCACTTCCCGGCTGCCCACAACATGGAAGGTTGTTTCTTGAGGGACCTGAAAAGGAAGATAGATTAGTGCTGGTCTTAGCGACCTGGGAGCGTGAACGCAGAAACCAAGGAACAACTGTTTGAGGCCGGTCACGCACGGCCTTTTTATGAAGGGCTTTTTAGTATTAGCTCCGCTCTTAGAAACCCTTACTGCCGGAGACGGAAATCCGCGAGGTAGGGTGCGATGTGACACTTTTAGGGTCGACATTTTCTAACCCTTCCTTGTGAGAAGGCTGCAGATGCTGGTTGTCCGAAGGAAACACCTTACTGCTGTCATTACACCGCTCTGCAGTCAGCAGTACGACTTCGCCCTCAGACCTTGGGTAGCTGCTTTTAGCCTCATCGTTCTGCAATCGACCTGCCTGGCATGGTAGAACCTTCAGGAACATATGTTGCAGCCAATGTAGCTCGGTTGAGTCATCACGATAGGCAAGCCCGACCACCGCGTAAGGGTAGCAGCTGCGGTCGGGATGTTGTAGGGTCGACATATTTCATAATTGGTGAGGTTCATTAAAGTCTCCTACATAGACAGGGTTGCTATCCAGACGTTAATCCGATCTATATATTTTAGTGGTCTACTTTTACGAAAAAAACGTGTTTGGTGTGATGGAGACATTTACTATTATACCGAACTGTACCAGTGATTGTTTTGCCGTACCTCTTTGTTTGACTGTACCAAAAACACCAGTCTTTCTCTTATTGCGACCTTGAGCTTCCACACGCCCACTCAGTAGTCTCGTCTGTAAACGTTTGGCACGATCTTTGTATTATTTCGATACCATGGAATACTTCTACAAAGAAAACCCAATCGGTGAAAAGGAAACATTTATTATTTTACTCATTTCGTTTAATTGTACTAAAAAACACTTACTTACGTGCACTGCTCTCATCATTCATAACTTGCTGCTCGTTATGTCGCCCACTTTCTCCTTCAAAGATATTCTTTACCCTGGATTTACTTTTTATTGCTGTGGCGGGCTAGTAATTAGTATTTAGTGGTGGTCATAGTCAATCTCGACTCGGTCACCATTAAAAATGAATCCCGAAAATAAATAGTTATGTTAGTCCTGGATATTTTTGCTTGCCACATCGGTTCCAGTCGGCCGAACCCAAAAGAAGACGTTCGGTCGAATCTTTTTAAACCTGGAGAAAACTCTGTAGTTTCCCAAACTCAATATTTTCCGTTTCTAACATTCCGAGAAACTCTCCGGCAAGCGTTAACGGCAAACATCACCTGTGGTCAAAGCCGTCTCCTTTACATCACATCAGTGATGATATGTGTGACTCACAAATTAATGGATTGTAAGTAGGCTTGGATTCTGTCCAAAGGCGGAAAACGAAGCATGTATTTGAAGCCACTTACCTAAGTACCATACAGGAATTTGTGTTTCTTGACTAGGGGTTATGAATGAATCAAGATATTAGTAATAATTATGAATGTAAGCGGACTTTGTATTACTTACTTACTTACGCCTGTTACCCACAATGGAGCATAGGCCGCCCACCAGTTTTCTCCAACCAACTCTGTCCTGAGCTTCCCTCTCCAATTCTGTCCAATGTTTGTTCATTCTTCTCATATCTTTCTCTATTTCTCGGCGTAATGTGTTCCTTGGCCTTCCTCTTTTCCTTTTGCCTTGGGGGTTCCATGTGAGGGCTTGTCTTGTGGGGCAGTTGGGTGATTTCCTCAGTGTGTGTCCTAGCCACTTCCACCACTTCTTCCTGATTTCCTCATCCACTGGAATCTGGTTTGTTATCTACCACAGTCCGTTGGTGCTGATGGTGTCTGGCCGAAGAATCCGAAGTGATTTCCGTGGACAACTGTTAATAAATACTTGAATCTTCTAAATAACGGCTTTCAAAGTTCTTCAAGTTTCCGCTACATATATTAGAATTTTCTTGAAATTTGTACTGAAAATTCTGATTTTGGTATTTGTTGATAGTTTTTTGGAGTTCCAGATATTGTTCAGTTGTAGGAATGTTGTCCTTGCTTTGCCAATCCGCGCCCTCATATCTGCATCGGATCCACCTTGGTTGTCGATGATGCTGCCCAGATATGTAAAGGTGTTAACGTCCTCCAAGGCATCTCCATCAAGAGTGATTTGGTTGGTGCATGTTGTGTTGCATCGGAGAATTTTGCTCTTTCCTTTATGTATGTTGAGACCTACTGCTGCAGAGGCTGGACTTTGTATATTTAGGTGAAAAATTCGAAGTTTTCACTTCTTTTCATTTTAAGTTAAATGATAGTCAGACCTTGATTGTATAAATCAAATATACACTTAATAGGTACTTACCGTCTACACAAAAATGAACTTATTCGAATGACCAGATTTGAAATTACGTATTGCGGAACAAATTCCTACATATGGCTCTACATAAACTAAACATAGGTCTTTCGATTCCAAAACGATTGGTCGTATATGTTACATAGTTATATTCGCTTTAAATAATGTCGGAGTCGTTCCATGTCACACCCAGATTAGATTCAAGTTTGTCTGTGGAAACAGTTATAACTATGAAACCTGAAAAAATTTGGGTTATCAACCAACCAAATCATGTCAAGATAGTGATTTCGCATTCATTTGATGGTAGAAAATCAGGGAATTTCGTGTACGATGACTTCAGATAAGCACTTTACAAGATATCTCATTGTAGAATTCTTATGGACCTGAAAAACCTAGGAATTGCTGGATAACTTCTGAAACGGATCAAAGGCTTTTGCTCTCAAGAGGACATTCATAAATTTTGATACATGTATGTCATCGTTGGTGTACACAAACTTGATGAAATCCAAACTTGAAAACTGCGTTTGTTCGGAATACTTCCGTTTGATGGATTACTCGAATATCTTGGAAGCGGCCAGTAATTTTAAACTCCGTTAATCGGTTTCATAGAAGATTAAGAGATGATCTGTGAGGTTTAAAATACTTAAAGATGGTTTACAAACTCATGTATCCTCTCTTTATTTTCCTACTAGATCAGGACAACTTACAATACAGAAGGCTATTTTGAAAGCTATTGAATATGGTTTTCTGAACCAAAGAAGTGATTCTGCACCTTTCGTTTATTCATTCATGAGAATCCTGAGGGCTCACATAAGCTTACTGTAAATGGACCCTACACCTCGTATGCCTTCTGCTCTTAATACGCAGTTCTAAATGACGACACGATATTGCTTCCCACCTTTTACAGACATGAACCACCATATTACCTTAGTTTGAGTTTCCCAAGATTTCGCT